CTACCTGTTCTCGCGAATTGGACGCGGTGTCGCGGTCACATCCTCTGGGCAAATCAAAGCTTTCGCACTACGGTATTCACAGATCTGCTATTCTGGAGAGCATGCTTAGGACACAGCGTCCATACACTTCGCGATTCAGCGCGCTCGCAGTTGTGTCATTATCGAGCACTCCGAGCGACCTCGGATCGCACGGCTAGCCTCAACTATTCATCGTGGAACTTCGCATTTTATACACACGAATTCAGTGAGGCACAGCACCAAGGTTATAAGGTCCTGTGCTGTTCTGGCCTGTGGTACTTATTCTTTAACAGCTTGTTCTAACGTAGTCACATTTCTGAATGACTTTATGCTTCACTAGAACAGCAGAATAGTGAGTAAGTTTTCTCCATAAATTGTGGATTTGTGTTGCGCCGTTAGTAAACTGCGCCATGCGCCACATTCCGTTGCTCAACGTTTTCAAGCTTCTTAACATACTTGCAAACCCGCTGGCTCTATCGCCGTCCTCCTGATCTTGCCTGCTGAGCCAGCTCCTCTAGAGCATTATCTAGGCATCTTTGCTGAAGTGAGTTTTACTGGTATGAAGTTCGTAATTATTTTGCGAGCAAATTCTACAGCACTCCTTTCAGTGTTCCTTCTACACGCTCCTTCAGTTAAACTAAACATTTCTCTTCCGATTAATCATTTTTACTCAAAGATATATTTACAATGTTGGTATTAGACATAGTAATCTTGCTCTTGTGTGTGCCGGTGAAAATTTCTTTTTTACCATCCAAATCTTTTTCTAATAATTGAACGATTGAAATAAGGCCGAGAGCGATTTCAACAGCTCTCTTTCTATTCTGCATCTATCTTGCGGGTTACCTCACCACAGCGTAATCCAATTTCCGTTCATTTGTAAGAACCCGCTGGCTTTTTAGTTTTGCGGCTTCACGTGCGATCAATCTCCCCCACGTGACGAGAACAAGGCATTCAATATTCTCGCGAAGTAGCACATTAAGATCGCTAGTTATTCTGGCATCACACAGTGTTGCATACTGTACGGTGACTACGATTGGCTGCTAGCAGCTTCCAGTGTGCGCTAATTATTTCGAAAGCTCTTTCTAGTTCCATTTTCGGTCTTCCTGGAAACCCGGGCATCTGTAGAAAATGTTCCTATCTTATTCTTCATCTCATCTTATCTGTTCCTATGCGGACTAGCTTTGTTAGTGGTAAGACCGCTTTACTGGTCAACGTTTCAAGCAAATCTTCGTCTTAGGACCTGGGAATGGCTCATAGCCCTATTTGAACTTTAAGGCAGACACCGCACTCAGGTCCTTGTGCAATTTATCCAGCCCTACTTCGATATTGCCCCATTTTCGCGACTCCTCAGCGAGCGAGGGAATGCTACAGCCGCCGGGGTTCTAGTTCTCACACCTGCTCAGTTGGACCGCCCACCAGCGAACGTCTTCTCAAAACCTATCGCAGTGGCGCTTTGTTGTTGTTTGTTGGAGTGGCGGACAAAATCGGAACTGCGTGTCCACTTTTGCCGACCGTGCTCGTGCTCGCAAGAAATTCTTCTCTCCTTCATGATATTTCCTTCATTAGGAGCACATACGGTCAACAGCAATCCAAGAAGGTCAACTAGCCAGCGATGAATTTGTGTTGGTGCGAAAGTTCGACGTGCATTGCTTACCGTAATCCTAAATTCAAGCGCAGAGTTTTCGAAAGTATCTTTCTGTTACGAATTTTGCTCCAGTGTTTTTGTTGCTTTTCGTTTTCTTTTCTCTGCATTGGATGGCGTTTAGTACTGAAAGATGCGAAAAAGTCGTCTGTGGGTCAGGGGTTGTTTAGATCTCGATAGATTTAGATCACAGCTCGCTGAGTTGCTCAAAGTCCTGAGAACTCGTGCAATGGGAGTACTCATCCAATGGGGCTTATCATCCTACAGGTGCATAACTGAACACCTACTATCCATGATCGTGGAAACTGTTTTTAACTGAACAAGCGCCTCACCATACTAGGCGTAGCGTTACAACACATCCAGAGCCGCAAATGGGATGGTGATCCATATTTCCCTGCGTGGTCGCAACGCGCTGAGTGGGACATTTGACGAATCTGGTGAAACCTCGATCGGATAAGCTGCATGTGGACCATGAGCCCTCTTCCAGATCCTTATCAGGTTCGAGGCGGCTTGTATTCCCGGTAGTACACGCGAATTCGAACCCCTTTTTGTGCGATATGCGTTCGTACAGTAATTGCAAAAACACGCGCATTTTTTTTTGTTCTTTTTGCGACTGATTATATTCCACTCGCATACATTTACACAATTAACACATCAATACAAAGAAAAAAAGATTGTAAAAATATTCCAAAAACTACGACGAACCTGAGTTCTGGTGAAATGGCCTTCGCCTCGAATGTGTTAAGAAAACGATCTGCTCGAAACGTTGACTAGTAAAACATTTACACCAATAACAAGCCTGCTTGACATAACAAGATAGAAACATGCTTTTTCTGGTGTTCTCCAGCTTCTCTCTTCTTACAACCTCATAGTAAGTTGTAAATTCTCAGTTTCCTGCTTACTGATTTGATAGGTGGAACGTTTATTGAACTGGTCAAACGTTTCGACTGACAAGAAACCTGCAAGCCCTTGTGGACTTGTGAAGTTGTGCATGTGAGCCGCAAGTTGGCCTCCATAGACCTCGCTAAGCACCATTTGGTGTTCCTCCTCTATTCTCGAAGCCGAATTGCTTCCTCATTTTATACTTGTTTTGGATAATCAGTAATTCCAAAGAGCTAGAACTCTTGGAGGGTATTGCTTCATCACAGCTAGAAAACCGCATGACAACCTGTCACAAGTTAGTTTTGATTTGTCCGGCTGTAAAGCTGTTGATGCACGTCTTTATCGAAAACGCAGCTGTAAAGAGTGCCGAGTCGAGAATTCGCTAGGATTGGTGTGGGAGTCCGATTGCTTTTTGCGACATATCCTCTTATGAAAACGTGGTAAGGCAAGACGAGAAAAGGCAGGCAATGCATGAAGTTGTTTTGTCGCGCAACCGCGTGACACCCCAACTATTTTTGGATGTGTTTTTTTTGTCGCACCGTTTTTCCTAATCATGAGGCTTAACCGAATTGTACGCCATTTTTAGCCTTCTTCAACGTATTGATAATGTATTATATCTAACCAGTCGGATCGGCCGGCTCACGCCGATCCTTCTATCGAGTCCGACTTCGCCGGGCTGGCTGGCTTCGCCAGGCGCACTTCATAGTGGAAGCGGAACTTGTTCATTGACCGAGCTGCTCATATTACGCTGTGTTGATCGAGTCGTAACAGATAGAGTAACCCAGCGGATTCTGCACTTCTGAATCCGCTGGGTTACTCTATCTGTCTGAGTCCAGCTTATATTTGGAGAGAGGAGGAGGCTGGTTTTGCCATAACGCCGATAGTACACATAGATCAATAGAAAGTACAGTCGGACAACTTTATTATCCGACTGTACTTTCTATCTATATCTTGATCTACTGTGTACTGTATCCGACGCAATATGAATCGCTCAGTAGATGAACAGATTCTGTTTCCATTACCTGCATCGAAATGTATACCGGTAAGCGCTCACGCTCACCTTTTCCATTGCTATGCTGTCCATATGAAAACCCATAAATGATTGCAGGTGCTAGCTCCCTTTTCAAGCATTCCCATCAGTAATCAAAAGTTTGAAAGTAAAAAAAGTCTCTATAGTGTGTATTATGTAATGCGGGTTTTCGATGATTTCTGTGAGTTTCCTGGTTCGGGCAAGCTACATAATCCCCCCTCCGTCCCCGCTTGACATCATTACATGCGTATAATGCATGTAATGTTCATACCCTGTGTCATATCTTGGAACCAAGGTTCCACCGTTGCTGGAACCGGCGCTGTGAATTTTGTGATAAACAGATAGTAGGCGCACAGTCTTAGCTATACAGGGGGGGGGGGGCAAAAAAAGACACTTCGACCGAGTCACATATCAGCAAAGTTTTCGCAGCCCAGACAGAGGACGTGGATACGAGTACCAGGGCGGAAGATACCCAAGATGTTCCTCGATAAGCAGGAGCTGGCTCTCGCCCATCACCTTCATGTACACCAAAATATGAAGTCATCTCCAGTCGCAGCCTGACTGGAGAAGACCTTTGGAATTCATGTCACCTCCAAACAGCTGCGAAACTTCTAGTATGGAGTCACCCATGGATAGCTACCTGGAGACCAGTACTCTCGATCTGGAAGACCTCCAACATCGAGCAGCTCCGACAACGTCGCTACGGTCCAGGATATCATCTTCACCGCAGTCGCCAAGGCGCGGTTGGTGGTATGGACCGGAAGTTCCTGGAATGTGAAGACCGATATTTTCTTCGTGGACCCCGGACTGAAAGTGAACGCTGACGGTTACATCGACCAACTCGTGGAGAATATCCTGCCTTCATGTCATCGCCTGTACCTTCTTGGAGAACTTCGTACTGCTACAGGATTGGGTGCCTCCACACGGAATCGAAGGGCGTTGGAAAAACTCTCGCCTACTTGGAATGGAAGGGCGTTGAGTACCTGAAGAAGATGGAATATCCAAGTAGGTCACCTGATAAATTGCAACGTTCGG